AAAGGAGGAGGCTGCAATGCTTGGTAAGAAATGTACGCATTATCCTGCCCATGTAATTGTAACCCCTCTGTACAGTATGTTCACAAATAAAAAATAAATAAATAAATAAATAAATATTCTCATGGACTTTCTGGCCCAGGCTGCTTTGAACCGTGATCCTCAGATCTCAGCCTCTTGGGTAGCTAGGATTACAGGCATGATCCACCAGCACCTAGCTTTCCTTCCTTCCCTCCCTTCCCTCCCTTCTCTCCCTTCCTTTCTTCCTTCTTTCCTTCCTTCCTTCATTCTTTCCTTCCTTCTTTCCTCCCTCCCGCTCCTTTCTTTCTTTTTGTGCTGGTCATGGGTCTTGAACTCAGGGCCTACATGCTGTCCTGAGATTTTCTGTTCAAGGCTAGTGCTCTACCACTTGAGTCACAGCTCCAGTTTTGGCTTTTTGGTGGTTAAGAGAAGATAAGAGTCTCACAAACTTTCCTGCCAAGGCTGGCTTCAAACCATGATCCTCAAAGCTCAGTCTCCTCTGTGTGTGTGTGTGTGTGTGTGTGTGTATTTGGTATATGTATATATACTGATATAATGCTTATACTGACTAGTCTAGAATCTCAGTAATCACAATATGACTATGTTTAATACTAAACTAAAAGTAAGATAGCTTAATATCTGTTCCTAAAAACCCTAGTTCTGTGATCTTTTGCTTTAAAAAGATCTATCATTTGTCTCCTACCTTGATCCTTCCCTCCCTCAATGGCTGAGGAAATAATTCCGTGATAAATCTGACCTTTCATTAAGGAGAAAGGTTCTTGCCCTTAATACTGGCTACTCAGGTAGTAGAGATCAGGAGAATCTCAGTTCAAAGCCAACACAGGCAAAACATTAGCAAGACCTCACTAACAATAAGGTGATTATAGTGGAATGTGTTGATTAAAAATGATCCAGCTATATGAGAAGTATGAGTATACAGAATATAGACTGAGGCCAATCCAAGCCTCATTGAAAAATAGTTAAAAGAAAAGGGGTGGGGGTGTGGCCCAAGTAGTTGAGTACTTACCAAGCAAGCACAAACCCTGAGTTCAAATCGTTGTATTGCCTAAATATATTACATACATACATACATACAATGACATCTGTTATCTATTTCCAGCAAGACAACTCCAGAAACAAGTCCAGAACATAAGTTCCATGTACTTATGTAACTTAGCCGTACATGCTGTATTTTCAAAAAGTTGCTATTGTACTCTTTTTAGTTTTAAATATAATCATCGGCTAATTCCTTTACTAATGTATGATCCTTTCCATCTCCTTTATGTAAATGATTTCTTCCTTCAATGCTGTGCCCTTGATTCTCTGTTTTAAGAACTTCTTAGACCTCATCATACCTGCTGTCACTTCCATGTGCATAGTAGTCCCCAAATGTGCATAATTGGAGCTATCTTGACCAATACTCAGTTTCATAGTTTACAAGTTCTCCTGGAGTTTCCAATGTCACTTTTCCTATTCTGGTCCCTGGTTATCACTGAGCCTTTCAGGAGTAGATTACTTTGAAAACTTCCTAGATATCCTCTTATACTCTCTGACTTATTTTCCTTTATAGTAAGTCAAAACAATCAGACTTCATTCCAGAGGACACTTCTTAATAGTCCTGAATGCAGTTAATTTGCTGGGAGATGCCCAGAATCCTAGCACTCCAAAGTCTGAGTCAAAAAGAGTTGAGAGTTTGAGACAAATCTGGTGTATACCCTATTATTCAAAAAGAATATCCTATGAAACCCCTCTGTACAGTATGTTCACAAATAAAAAATAAATTAATTAATTAAAAAAAAGAATATCCTATGAAAATATGCAAGTGATGTTTTCAACCTGAGAACTGAGGGGGTTTGAATTCAGGACCATGAGCTTGCTTGGCTTACATGTTTGACTTGTGCTCTACCACATGGGCCATGCCTTCAGTTCAGCTTTTTGCTGGTTATTCTGTGATGGAGTCTTTGAACTTTTCTGCCTGGTCCGGCTTCGAGTAAGATACTGTGGACCTCAGCCTCCTGAGTTAGGGAGAATTACAGACTAAAACTACCGGCACTGGGCTTTAATCCTACTCTTCTTAAAAGTCCATTCAAATTTCATCTTTCACATAAAACTCTCCTTTACTTCCCCAACTTATTCTGATGTACCTTCAAAGTATATGTATCTGGAATTATAAAAGCATAATTCATTTTTTTTGTTACAGCTAACAAGACTTCCAAAAGAGCTGTGTAATATGACTCAGCTTAAAAGACTTGATATCTCATATAATGCGATCAAAGAGATTCCAGGAAATATAGGGGAATTGAGAAATCTGGTTAGATTTGATGCAGTTAGCAATCAAATAAGTTATCTACCACCATCATTTTTATCTTTAAAATCTCTCCAGCAACTAAATCTAAAGGGTAAGTAGCAAACATCATCAATAGGTCGAATATAAATGACATAGTTGCAAATTTTGCTGAAAAGATATTAAGCAATGTATTCGCTAGGCACAGGAAATGGGAACAGTTCCAGTCTTGTCTGGAAATATCAAGCACTGCATATGTCTTCTCTTTCAAAACCTGAACAAATATTTTTATAACACATGCTGGTTCTCCTGATCACACTCAACACACTAGTAGCTTACATGCCTTCAAAAGTTATCTTTTTTTTTGGGGGGGGGGTTCCGGTCGTGGGGCCTGAACTCAGGGCCTAGGCGCTATCCCTCAGCTCTTCAGCTCAAGGCTAGCGCTCTACCACTTGAGCCACAAGCCATTTCCAGCTTTTTTCTTTTTGCTTATGTGATGCTAAGGAATCAAACCCAGGGCCTCATGCATGCAAGGCAAGAGCTCTACCACTGAGCCACCTTCCCAGCCCCCAAAAGTTATCTTTTACAAACTCAAAATAAAAGGGATATGAAAAGTAAATCACAGCTGGGTGCTGGTGTCTCAGGCCTGTAATTCTAACTGAGGCTGAGATGATGTGAGGATGAAGGTTCAAAGCTAGTCCAGGCAGGAAAGTCCATGAGTCTTACCTCCAAACAAAACCCAGAAAACCAGAAGTGGAGCTGTGGCTCAAAGTGGCAAAGTGCTAACCTTGAGCAAAAGAGCTCAGGGACAGCACCTGAGCCCTGAGTTCAAACCCCACAACCAACAGAAAAAAAAGATTACTTGAAAGATATCAGAAGATATTCCTAAAAGAACATGAAATACTAGGTTAGTATTTTTCATAATTCCTATCGTGAAATATTCACATTTACAGAAAATAATAAATACCTATGTATTCATTTTTATATACTGGCTGCTAGCATTTTGCATATCCTAGACAAATGCTCTACTATTTGAGCCACATACTCCTAGCCACTTTTGCTTTTAGTTATTTTTCAAACATGGACTGAGATCCTCCCAGTGATGCTTACACACACACCATTGCTTCCCAGCTTGATTTCTGAGATAGGGTCTTGGTAATTTTTGATTTTATAGAAAGGCATAATTCAATTACTTTTCTTTTACTATTAGGAAACAATCTGACAGATCTGCCTAGTGGTATCCACAACCTTTTTTCACTAAAGGAGATAAATTTTGATGACAACCTTTTGCTGAGACCTCCCATGGAAATCTGTAAAGGAAAGCAATTATATACCATTACACGCTATCTACAAAAGGCAGATGAAAGAGATGGTAGGTGATGAGATTTCATGGTATCATTTGTATATTAAAAGATAGGTAGCGGTGATTGAAGGCATCCAATTAGCAAAGCCAATAGAATATCATCTTCACTATTCTGAAAGTTAGGCATTTATTTTGCTTATTCAGAATAATTTAATTCAGAATTACACAAACTGAACCTTTGAAAAGAGGCAAATTCCATGGAAGGGTGGGCTACTTCCTACACATTGACCTCAATACCTCTTTCTTTCTTTCTTTGTGGGGCTTGAACTCCAGGTCTAGGTGCTATCCCTCAGCTCTTGTGCTCAAGGCTAGTGCTCCACCACTTTGAGCCACAGCTCCACTTCCAGTTTTTTTTTCCCCCTGGCTTTTTTCTTTTTGCTTATGTGGTGCTGAGGAATCAAACCCAGGGCCTCAGGCATGCAAGGCAAGCGCTCTACCGCTGAGCCACTCAGAAAATCGGAAGTGGCGCTATGACTGAAGTGGTAGAGCACTCACCTTGACCTGAAGAGCTGAGGGACAGCGCCCAGGCCCAGAGTTCAGGCCCCTCGACGGGACCCTCCCCCACAAATAAGAATCTCAGGGACTTGCCTGCCTGGGATGGATTCAAACCACAATACTCAGCCTTCTGTTTAGCAAGGATTACAGGCATGACCACCAGTGCTTGGCATTAGTCTTTTCGTAGGCTTTGCATCCTAATTGTGGCCTGATCCAGAGAATACATAGATGGATTGCTTTATTTCTAATGTGTTTTTTTTAAATAGATAGTTTTTCTAACATATATTTGCCTTGAAGGAAGTCTGTAGATATTTCCACTGATGCCTATTAGTTTGGGCCCCACTTCAATCATCTGTTTGCCATCTTTGAAATTAAAAGACCATAGTAGCTGTCTTTAACTTTCTGTGTAATCCATGTTAATTATTGTTACAAAAAAGGAATATCCCACAATAATTCTCTTTCTGTAAAATGAAGATTTGGGTTTTTTTTCCCAAGGATCCACAAAGTATTTCTGATGTTTTAGGAGAAAGGATACTGTTATGGAATTAACCTCCTAGCTAAAATTGTGTTGCTTAAGTTCTCAAGGAAAGGAGGATTCATTGTAGTCTTTTTTTTGGGGGGGGGGGGTCTGGTCGTGGGGCCTGAACTCTGGGCCTGGGCGCTGTCCCTCAGCTCTTCAGCTCAAGGCTAGCGTTCTATCACTTGAGCCACAGCACCACTTCCGGATTTTTTCTTTTTGCTTATGTGGAGCTGAGGAATTGAACCCAGGGCCTCATGCATGCAAGGCAAGCACTCTACCCCTGAGCCACCTTCCCAGCCCCTCATTGTAGTCTTTATGGGAAAATGCAATAGGCAATGGCAATAGATCAGAAAGAGAGAACCTCACTTAAGTTTCTGTGTATTCAAGAAAGTCTTCCTACTGCAGCTTAAGCACCCATGAGGGTGAGGAGAAGTTGTATGGGGGATGTATTTATTCTGCAATTATCAAAAATCATAAAGTCTCTCTATGAAACTTTTACTTGTAGGATTGGAATTTTCATGGCATTGTCATATATGCATGGAATAGAAAAACCAGGGCTGGGAAGGTGGCTCAGTGGTAGAGCGCTTGCCTTGTCTGCATGAGGCCCAGGGTTCGATTCCTCAGCACCACATAAGCAGAAAAAGCCGGAAGTGGTGCTTTGGCTCAAGTGGTAGAGCACTAAAGAGCTGAGGGACAGTGCCCAGGCCCAGAGTTGAGGCACCACGACTGACAAAAAAAAAAAAAAAGAATAGAAAAACTAGGGATCTGGAGGCACATGGCTCAATTGGTAGAGTACATGCCTAGCAAGCAGAAGGCTGTGAGTTCAATCCCCATTACCTCTAAAAATAAAGGAAGTAAAGAGAGAGAAAGAGAGAGGAGAAAACCCAAAATATATTTGAGATGAACATAGTGAATGGAAGATCTGAAGTATAATACTAATATATATATAATTCAATGCTGACATATATTTGATAGAAATACAGAGGAAAACAAAATATTAATTCAAAATGGAGTATCTTCTTCAAAAGAAATAGCTAAAATTTCTTTTATTTCCAAATGTAGAGAAAATCTTAGAGAAGATAATGAAGGTTGTTGCCAGTAATATCAGTGAAACAAATTTTGAATTTTTGCGTCAAAAACTAAACCTGGCAAGCTCAGAAACCAGTATCTCAAAGAGGTATGTAGGAATGACATTTATGTCATCTTTATAATATGTGGTTTTGACATAGTCTTGTTAAACTCTTATTTGTTATGGAAGATTTATTTTAGTTTATTACACATTTGAGATTCATGTTGGGAAGGCCATAGAGTAAAAGAAAGAAAAAAGTCTCTAAAGATAAAAATGCTTGGTTTTTAATCCAGCTGGATTTCATGACTCTGGAAGACCCTTTAACTTTTGTGTGCCTCAACTTCTTCCCTGGTACAATAGATTCTAAGAGACTTGTCTTTAGACTCAAGTGAAATCAAGCTGTAAGTATGTGGTTAATAGTAGTATTTGTTTATAATCCACAATTATTATTTGCAGTCTTGAGAACTGAATGTATGTTGAATTGTTGACTTATAAGGAAACAAGGGATACCATTCATGTTCTATGTGCCAAACTTTGTGGCAAACTTTCATATAGACACTTTACTGATTATTTACTGATTACTTTTAGGCTCACTTTAATTTGGTAAATGGGTTTGAAAAACTTATATATACAATTTAAGTTTGGTTATTAAAATAATTGTTACTTAATTTTTTTCAGCAATGTTACATTAAAGGAAAGAGCCTACCAAACTTTGGTTAAATGGAAAAATGAAAACCCATCACTCACTGCTGCCGCTTTAAGAGACCAACTAGTTCGGACACTAAAAATGATTGGAGTTTATGAAATAATGGACAAAATAACAGCTTTAACTCTTTATACACGTGCAATTAAATTCTAAACATTGAAAACTTATGAAGCATTTACATAGTTGAAGCTGGATTTTCAAGTCACTTGATTTCATCAAACAAGAGAATTATCACTTTCCTTGCATTAAGAAGACATGCCAATTTATGACTATGCCAATTTATGACTACAATTCTAAAGTTAGCACAATAAAATATTATAGACAGTTTTGTATATTTTTCTGTTGCCTTAGAGTGATATTGAATTTGAAAATAATTTCATGAAAATTTCTGATGTAAGCCAGGTAGGTGCCAGTGGCTTACATCTATAGTCCTAGCTACTTAGGAAGCTGAGATCTGGAACAAGGTTCAAGCCAACAGGGCTGGAAGCTAGGCTTAAGTGATAGAGCAGCAGCGGAGCAAGCAAACCTAATGAGTGAAAGGCTCTGAGTTAAAAAATTATTATACTTTTGCATAAGACTTACAGGTAGCAAGATTTTCCTGTTTTGGTGCTCCTCCCTTTTTTTTCCTACTAGAAATCACCTTCCATGCAGGAAATATATTTCACGTATTTAGGAGGAGGTTCTCTTGTCACATTTAACATCTTATTCCTTTGCCATAGTCACTAACACCAGAGTCTTTGATGTATTTAAGGACAGTGATTGACTCAGGGAAAGCCATTTGACTTGTTATGGCATTAAAAATTTCCCTTGGGTAGAAAACTAAAGTTAGATCCTTATATATCACCTGCACCAGAATCAATTCCAAATAGGTCAAAGATCTCAAGGTGAAAACAGACACCCTGAGAAGTTTGGAGAAATGGGATTGCATTAAACTGCAGAGCTTCTGCTTGGCAAAGGATGTAACTAGCAAGATCTGTAGAAAGGCCACAGATTGGGAGAAGATCTTTACTAGCCATACAACAGACAAGGGCCTCATACCTAAAATATATTTAGAATTCAAAAAATTAGATTTCCCCCAAAACAAATCTCAAAGAAACAACCACCCCATTGATAAGTGGGCTAAAGACTTAAAGAGAGACTTCTCTGAAGAGGAAATAATGGCCAATAGACACCTGAAGAAATGCTCAACTTCTCTGTCCATAAAAGAAATGGAACTCAAAACAACATTGAGAGTCCACCTTACCCCAGTGAGAATGGCTATAATCAAGAAATCTAATAACAGATTCTGGAGGTGACATGGCCAAAAGGTAACATTACTACATTGTTGGTGGGAATATAAATTTGTTCAACCACTCTGAAAGCAGTATGGAGGTTCCTCAAAAGACTTCACATGGAGTTCTCTGATGACCCAGCAATCCCACTTCTGGTCATTTACCCAAACAATCACAAACAAGGCCACACTAAAGCTTCTAAAGCTATCAGCATTATTTCAACACTAGCTAAGATATGAAACCAACCCAGATGCCCCTCATTAGATGAATGGATCAAGGAAATGTGACATATAGAATGGAATTCTATGCTTCTATCAAAAAGAATACCACCATCCCATTTGTAAGGAAATAGAAGGACTTGGAAAAAAATCATTTTGAGTGAAGTAAGCCAGGCCCAAAGAAACATAGGTCCCATGGTCTCCCTTATTTGTAATAATTGATATAAAACTAGGATAATCTTAGCAGATGAGCAGAATTGCTCAATAGCTATGTATATATGACCATATAAGATGATGTGAGATGAACTCCAAGACATAGAACCAAGAGGTTTTTCTTGTTGTTCTTCTCAATGTACTACATGATTTCTTTTTTCTTTTGTGATGTATCCCCCCTATGGTTTACCCCCTATTGATAGTGCATTTAATTTTGGTACCCTGAGTGCTGTATATACGTTTATCTGAACTGGGGAAGGGTAGGGGAACAACAAAATGGTGAGACAAAGGACAAAGGGAGAGCCTATGCACCAGTGATACAAGACAATATGTTAGAAATGATCTGTACAACTTAGGGGGGCGCTGTGGGGGAAAGGGAAAGAGGGAGAAAAATAAGGGAAGGGGTAACAAGTTAGACAAGAAATGTAATCACTACCTTACTTACGTAACTGTAACCCCTCTGTGCATCACCTTGACAATAAAATTTTTAAAAAATTAAAATAAATACTGACTACCATTAGGCCATTTGAAAGTTGCTTGACTATTGAGGAAAGATTTATCCTATCAGAAAGTAAAAAATAAGAACATAAAGTTGGGCATCCGTGGTTCACACCTGTAATCCTAGCTACTCAGGAGGCTGAGATCTGAGGATCTCGGTTCAAAGCCAGCCTGAACAAGAAACTCTGTGAGACTCTTAGCTCCAATAAATGACTCAGAAAACCAGAAGTGGTACTGTGGTTCAAGTGGTAGAGCACTTGCCTTGAACTGGAGAGTTGAGGAATAGCGCCCAGGCCCAGAGTTTAAGCCCCACGACTGACAAAAAAATAAAAATAATATCTATCAAAAAAAAAAAAAAGAATTTTCCTTGGGCTTTTCTGGAGAGCTATAAGGAAGTTGCACTCTTTCTGCTGGTAAGGTTTTTAGTTTTAGTGTCTTGCTAGACATAGCTTGTGATAGTCTGTTGAGAGATTTATGGATAGAACCCATCTGTATTTGTGTGGGCCCCAGTTCAGCCTTGTCTAAAGTTAATTATTCTTCTGAACTACATCACTAGCCCTCTATATTTCTTTATAGGAACCATGCTGATCTCAGGCTAGTGCTGATAGTCTTTATGGTTAATGAAATTGCAGAATTTTTAAAAATGGTAAGTCCTATTAGTTTTTATGATGGTTTGTTATGTCACTCTAGTATATTTTGAGTGCATTTCCCACAGTTTACCTTGGATTATTATGAACCAAACATGGACTTTAGTACAATTTTTTTTGTGTGTGTGGGGGGTCCGGTCGTGGGGCCTGAACTCTGGGCCTGGGCGCTGTCCCTCAGCTCTTCAGCTCAAGGCTAGCGCTCTACCACTTGAGCCACAGCGCCACTTCCGGCTTTTTTCTTTTTTTTATTTTATTTTATTTGTGAACATACTGTACAGAGGGGTTACAATTGCATGGGCAGGATAATGCGTACATTTCTTACCAAGCATTGCAGCCTCCTCCTTTGTTTACCCTTCCCATCCCTTCCCAGCCTCCCCCCTCCCCCCCGGCTTTTTTCTTTTTGCTTATGTGGTGCTGAGGAATCGAACTCAGGGCCTCAGGCATGCAAGGCAAGCACTCTACCACTGAGCCACCTTCCCAGCCCCCTTTAGTACAATTTATCTGGAAAATATGATTAAAGAACTATAAATTAAGTTTAAAGCTGGCTTATGGCTGTAATCCTAGCTACTCAGGAGGCAGAGAGCTCAGCATCACAGTTTGAAGCCAGCCCAGGCAAGTAAATCCATGAGATTCTCATCTCCAGTTAACCACAAAAAAACAGAAGGGAGCTGTGGCTCAAATAGTAGGGTGCTAGCTTTGAGCAAAAGAGCTCAGGGACAGTACCCAGGCCCTGAGTTCAAGCCCCAGGACTGGAACATACACAAAAAAGTTTTAAAACACAACATAATGGTAATTAAGTCTGAGAGCCTAGGACAAGCAACTAACTTTTATCTTCTTTTTGTTCGAGTCCATTTAACAAAACTGGGACATGTCACACAAAAAAGGGTACAAATTAAGACATACAATCATTTTATTAACACAATATTTTTGATATTGGGATGTTATTTTTTTCTTGGGGTTTGGGATTTTATGCATATACTTAAAAACAGGGTTGAAGTATTTAAAAAATTGTAATTATAAAAACAGGGTTGAAGTATTTAAAAAATTGTAATTATAAAGGTGATGTACAGAAGGGTTACAGTTTCATAAGTATACTAAAAATATAGTAGCAATGCAGTTAATATACTCATTTGAAGCCAAATTATTCTGTATTCCTGCTTTATCACTAATTAGCTGCTTAGTTTTTTTTTTCTTTGTCAGTTATGGGGTCTGAACTCTGGGCCTGGGCACTGTCCCTCAGCTCTTCAGCTTAAGGCTAGCACTCTACCACTTGAGCTTTTTCCTTCTTATGTGATGCTGAGGAATTGAACCCAGGGCCTCATGCATTCAAGGCAAGCACTCTACCACTGAGCCACCTCCCTAGCCCAGCTGCTTAGTTTTATAAAAGTCAAATAAACTGTCTTGACAGAGAGACTTTGTAAGATGCTATGTTCTAATGAGGCTTTAATACTTACTATACATATATTTAGTGTAGGTATTTAAAAAAGAACTTAGCATGTAATTTTTAATGCTTTAAAAATACAACACCAAGTTTACATTATTTATTTTCACAAAACAGATCAGGTTAGACATTTTTGAGTTGGGGGCTTTATATGTTATTTTCGGTTTGTTTTGATTTTTTTATATTTTAAATTGTTGCCACTTGTTTATCTTTATATATCCCCAATACTGGAGATACTGTGTGAAGATTTTTGAAGAATTATAATTTATGTTGCTTTTTTTTTTTTTCAAATTTGACTCTTCAAAAGTGCAATACAATTGAGTTTTCATGTAAGCTGATAAGTACATTGGAAACTTACCAACAAATGAAGAGAAGTTCTTTTTTTGGGGGGGGGGTCCGGTCTTGGGGCCTAAACTCTGGGCGCTGTCCCTCAGCTCTTCAGCTCAAGGCTAACATGCTACCACTTGAGTCATAGCACCACTTCTGGCTTTTTTTTCTGCTTATGTGGTGCTGAGGAATCAAACCCAGGGCCTCATGCATGCAAGGCAAGCGCTCTAGCACTGAGCCACCTTCTCAGCCCCTGAAGAGAAGTTCTTTGAGAACTTGGCTCTTTGGACCAGTACTCCAGTCTTGCCTTTTGCTGATTATCTTGGAAATGGAGTCTCACTGACTTTTCTGCTCAAGCTGACATCAATCAAATCTGGTTCCTCTAGATATTAGCCTTCTGAGGATTACAGTGAGCTGATAAGACACTGTTGTCTGGCTTTAATGTTTTTGATCTGTTTCATTATGATTTGGGTTGAATTGTGGTATTTTAAGGTGGACAGTGGTGCCATGTCTATGTAGGCATCACAGGAGGGCAGAAGGGTGGAAAGACATGACTTTAGGTTTGGGATTTACTGAGATGAAATTATATAAATTATAAAATTCACTTAAAATCTATTTCCTTATTCATTTTCTCATGTTTATATGCTATGCTTATGCTTTCAAAAACATACTATTGCCTACTTTATTGTGTAAAATGGCCTTTGAAAAGTTCTGCAGTTTTTCTCAAATCATTTTAAAATGTTTTTTAAAGAATTTTTCCAGAATTATATAGAAATATATATGTTCATTTATATGTCTATGAATTATGTATATTTTAAGAATTTCAATCTTTCAGGATTTTAGACCTTATGGATTTGTACATATGTACAGGTACTAGGGCTTGGCCTGGGCGCCATCCTGACAAGCCTAGAGCTCTATAAACCACAGCTCCACTTCCAGATTTCTGGTAGTTAACTGTAGATTAGTCTCACATACTTTCTTGCCCAGGGCTGGCTTTGAATTGCAATCCTCAGATCTCAGCCTCATGATGGCTAGTATTAAAGGCATGACATATCAATGCCCAAGTTTTTGATCTTTCAGGATTTCAACATTTGGGATTATGGTGTTTAGGATTGTGTCTTTTGGGATTATGGCCCAAATTTACTTTCCTGTGTCAGGAAGTGACAGTAGTGTACAAGATAAAGACAAGCCTGGAAGAGACTCCTGTTGCAGTAGGATCCTGTTGCAGTAAGGCAGACAAGGCCTTACCCAAGGCAGTGGCAATGGGAATGGAGAAACTTTTAAGAGAAGACTTAGAGGATTTGTTGACAGACTAGATAAAAGGAAGTGTGGTCAGTGGTGCCATCGCTATGTAGGCATCACGGGAGAGCAGAAGGGTGGGAAGAGATGAGTTTAGGTTTGGGATTTCCTGAGATGAAATGATCTTTAGGTAGAAGTATCTAGCAGGCAATTGTCTCTATTCGCTTCCAAAGGGCCTTGCAGTTTTGTGTTGTTCCTTGTATCCCCAAACTTAGCACACAACCTAGCTTTACATCAATAAGTCAATCTGGTCTGGATCTTCGTTTAATCATCTGGAAGGAGGGTTAAATTAAGATCAAGGTTTCTCCTGCTGCAAAACCCTTGGGCCCCTAAATCCTCGGGATAGCGGGTGTTCTTGGGAAATGTGGCCGTAAATAAGGAGCTCACGACATAACTTCCACGTTTATTTTCTTACCCTTGTTTTAACAATCCAGCACACCAAATAATCAGCGTTGGTTCAGCTCTCCGGCCTCGTACACTCTACCTGACACACTGATTTTGACCGGGGTAGGACACGACAGATCTCACGTCCCACCCTGCAGGAGGTAGCAGCTATCTCCGAGACCTGGTTTTCTTCACGACTCCAAGTCCCAAAGGCTATTCAGGATGCCAATACCTTTGGCGGGCGCGGTGCAGCCAGCACGCCAGCTCCGACTTCCCGATTGTGGGCGGCGCCCCGGCCACGCACCCGGCTGACGCGACATAGGCCGAGATCACCTCAGGAGCGAGCGGAGCAATCACAGAGCGCGCCGCTGGGGCGGGCAGGCCCACTCACGCGCTCAGAGATCCCTCCGCCAAGCTTCCTCCGCCGGGGTCCTCCCGGCCCCCTTCCAGTCGCCCCGCACAGCGGGCACGCAGATGCCAGTGACACGCATTTCCTAGGGACTGGTCACCTTCTAAGCCAATTCTCTCCGGTCCCGGTACTCTTTGGGCCACAGCTGCATTCCCATTCCATCAGGACTTCTCTATGGCGAAAGGAGACATCGGCACAACGTTGCACTGCTCGGAGGCGTGGCCAGCGGCAGGCCCCGCCTCGTTCTGTGACGCACTGGGTGGCGCGCAGGCGGGTGGTGGGTGTGGAAGGCGGGGTGGCACCGGCCTTAGCTGGAGACCTGGAGGCCGGGGCCGCCTCCCAGCACCCATCCGCCGGCTTCTCTGGCTCCATCTATTGGGAGGAGCGGCCGCGACCTCGGCCTCCAGTGTCCCGGGCGGAGTGAAGCGGAGCCGCGGCCGCCGCAGCCGCCGCCGCCGCCGCGATGGTGCTACTGGGGCTACTGCAGGCTGGAGGGTCGGTGCTGGAGCAGGCGATGGAGCAGGTGACGGGCGGCAACCTGCTGTCCACGCTGCTGGTCGCCTGCGCCTTCACGCTCAGCCTGGTCTACCTGTTCCGCCTCGCGGTGGGCCACATGGTCCCGCTGCCTCCCGGGGCGGTAAGTTGCACCCTCCGGGGTCCGGGCGCGGAGGACGGCGGCCCCGGGGGCCGAAGGGCGGGCACGGGCCGGCTTCCGGGCAGCCAGCCGGTGATGCCAGTGCCAGGTGCCAGGTGCCGGCGCCCGCAGCCGGGCTTGGGGTCGGGGTGGGGGCCGGGGCGACTGCAGCACTGCTGCTGGCGGAGCCGACCGTCGGCCACCGCCGTGGCCTTTGCCGGCCTCGCCGACCGCTGGCATTGCATCGACCAGCACGGTCCCCGGCCCCGAGGAGACCTCCGGGATGGTGCCTGCGAGTCGCGATGCTGAGCGACGGCTGTGACCGCTCGGGTCGCCCTTCGCACATGGCCAGGGACGAGCTTGCCGCGCGCGCGTGGGTCTTAGTGATGGCTGTGGTCCTGGTGGCCTCGGTGGGGGGCGGCCGGCCCGGCAGCCGCGGCCCTCGCTGTAGCGCTCAGCGCGGCGCCTCGGGGGTCGTGCTGGCTGCAGTTCCCGGTGAGGGGATCGTGGAGAGGGCGTTGGTGGTGAAGTTATTGGTAGCTGAGGCCCTGGGTGGTCATCAGTCTGAGCGCACTTGTGTGGTTCGGCGTTCTGTGGGCTTTGTCGTTGCCTCTAATGGCGATCTGTATCAGCGTCCAGGTGGGAGGGGATGAGTTCCGCTCGTTGAGAGTTGTGACTTGTGTGATCTTGGCTTTCATCTGCTGCGTCTGAAGTATCCGTTTTTGTAATCTGGCAGCGTGTTTTGTTTTTTGACGGCTGGCTTCAGCTTTCTCAAATGAGTTTGAGTCGTGAATGTACACTTGACAGAAAAGGCAGGCTCTGGAAACTGGCCCTCAAAAACTGACAAATGGACCACGCAGTTTATCGTACTTAACACCACGGTCTGACCAAATAGCTTTAAAAGCGACAGAGCTATCTTCAGTGTTTGGGGTTGTCTTTCCTATTATCTGAGAAGTGTTGGGAGGTTATGATGTTCTATTTGAGACCACCAAAGAGCTGAGAAATGTCACCTTTTTCTGTCATTACAAGTTGAGTTTTTCAGGAGTCTTAGTTTTGTAATCTGTGGTGATTTTATGATGAGTGCTAAGAAGATCCATCTTAGAGTTGATCTACTCCCTTTAAAAATCAGCAGATCTAGCATGTTGATTGTAAATGTTGCTTAAATAATTCTCTTCTTTGCATATTTCAAGTTTCTGTTCAGCTGTTTCTTTCACTTATTTCTGATTGCAGTGGTGTAACTTTTAAAATTGAGGTGAAAGGAAGTCTAAAATTACTTCAAAATATTAAAAATACACTTACACATCTTTTAGAGGAGAAATAAAATCAATACTACAGAATATAGAGACAATGGCTAAAAAAGTAAACATATAAAATATATTTAAATAATACTTATAAAGAAATATATGTGTATATGATGGGTAATGCTAAAGCAATTTCTAGTGAAAAAAAGCCAAACTTTTACAGTCCGAAATGGATATATTTTATTTCATATTTTTAATTGTGCAGTGCAGTTTATTCTCATGAACTTTGATCATGTTTATCTCCTCTATTACTTTTTCAGCCCCCCTTTTTTGTACAATTTTTATTAGGTTTAATTACTCTTTTCATACATGTATATAATGTACTTTGACCATATTCACTCCCTTCCCCCGTACTCTTTTTCTGTCACCTCTATCTCCTGGTGGTTACTCCTTCCAAAATACTTACGCTTTTACTTTCATGTCCTCATTTGTATTTTATTTTGATTTTTTAGTTTTAGATTCCACATAGGAGAGAAACCTGTTATATTTGTTTTTTCTGAGTCTGGCTCATGATAATCTCTGCTTTGTTTTTTTCCTGATGATAAGATTTCATTTTTTTTGTGTGTGGCTGAATAATAGAATAATACACTTCATTGTGTATGAATACATTTTCTATTTTTCTTTTTTTTTTTTTTTTGTCGGTCGTGGGGCTTGAACTCTGGGCCTGGGCGCTGTCCCTCAGCTCTTCAGCTCAAGGCCAGGGCTCTACCACTTGAGCTACAGCGCCACTTCCGGTTTTCTGGTGGTTTATTGGAGACAGGAGTCTCACGGTTTCTCCTGCCCGGGCTGGCTTTGAACCGCGATCCTCAGATCTCAGCCTCCTGAGTAGCTAGGATTACAGGTGTGAGCCACCAGCGCTGGCTTCTATTTTTCTTTCTTTCCTCCAATCATAGGGCCTGACCTCAGGGCCTGCGCATTGTCCCTGAGCTCTTTTGCTCAAGGCTACAGTGCTCTGCAACTTTGAGCAACAAAAGCACTTCCTGTTTTCTGGTGGCTAATGGATCCTCAGATCTGAGCCTCCTGAGTAGCTAGGCTTACAGGCATGAACCACTATTGTCTTTTCATCCATTCATTAATTGATGGGTGCCATAGTTCAGCTGTTGTGATTCCTTCTTTTTAGACAAGATTTGGGAGTAAAATTGTGGTAATAGAAGTGACAACACTTGTTTCTTCCCTTCCTGACTCTTCTCAGGTGAATAGATACACCTCTAATCTTAGGCATATTTGACATTGTCTATTGTTTAAAGTCCTAGAGTCTGTTTGTCTAGTTATTTATCTTATATACCATATTTATAGTTTTTCTTCTTTTTCTCCAAAGATATTGTCAGTTTGGCTTTTCTTATTTTGATTCTTCACTTTTTGCTACACTTTTTTTTTAAGTATTAATGGCAAATTTCATTTAACTGTTCAGTCATGGAACTAATCTGAATTTTTCTCTTAAAAATATTCTTTTTTCTCTTACAGAAAAGTCCACCATACATTTTCTCCCCAATTCCATTCCTTGGGCATGCCATAGCATTTGGAAAAAGTCCAATTGAATTCCTAGAAAACGCATATGAGAAGGTAAGTCTTAAAAATAGGCTCCCCCCAAAACCACAAGTCCAAAAAAAAAAAAAAGAACTAGTTTAGATAAGTACTCTGCAAACTTCTCTTGTAAAATAGAACAGTTTGGAAAAATGGTGATGATATGCTTATTGACAGTAGAAAAAAAAACCATAAAACTGAAGCTTTTCTGGTTTGAAAGGGCCTTTGTCCGTTAGTTTCTCCTAGTGTTCTAAATTTTGTTTTCACTGATTATGCTTAAGATTGATAAGCTTATGATTAAGATTGATACTTTTGTTAATCATGAATATCAAATTGTCTTGACCTGCTCTATCCGTTTTCTGTGACTTCACTTGCCCCTTGGATTGGGTTACATGATATCATGGGCACTGGAATCTTTGATCCTCTAATGAGTTTTCCTGTCAGTTCAGCTATTAACTCCACATTCTTGCCTTGGACTTCCGCTATTTTACCTTACAATAGTAAGTCACCTTATTCTTAGATCATAACCTCTGATTTGCATGTGCAACTCTGTGGATTAGAAGCAGTCTTTGACATTATCAGTCCCTGTTCCCATTTATCTAGCAGACTTCTTTCTGGTTTTCCAGCTTTTGCTACTTTGGGTCCATGGTCCCTCATTTCAGTTACAGCATTGTCAACCTGTCTAGTTCCCTTGTTTTTGGATCTTTTTACTGTGTTCACCTGGCTAAACACTATCTATGAAGAAAGTTAGTTACTCATTTTCTTCTACTTGTGCCAGATTGCTTCCGTCCTACTGTCCAAATTTCATATTGCTCAATTATTTAATGTTCTTATTATTGACTTAACATTCCCATTCACCTTAATGACTAATTCAAGTCTTTACTTGTCTAAACTTCTGAGTCTACTTCTCCATCCAGGCAAGGTGATTTTGCCTCCTAAATTAAAAGAGATTAAAAAGCTTCCAAGCTAGTGGAGCTAGTGGCTCCTGCCTGTAATCCTAGCTACTGAGAAGACAGATCTGAGCATTGCTGCTTGAAACCACCTCTCAACTCTCCCCCCCCCCCCAAAGCCTATTAGACTCTTATTTCCAATTTATCATCAAAAAGTCGAAGTGGAACTATAACTCAAGGGTTAGCACTAGTCTTGAGCATAAAAGCTCAGGGACATTACTTAGGTCCTGACTTGTAACTCCACGACTGTCACCAAAAAATAAAAAATTCCTTCTGCTACTTCCCCCTAGCTCTATCTGTTGCCAGTTCTGCAGATTCTATCTCCAAAATAACAATTTTCTCTCTTTTACCTCCCTATGCCACGCTACCTCATGTCAGGTGTTTATTAAGTTTCTGCTAATAGGTTCTTCTGATTTATGCCATGACATTCCTTCTACTTCTACCTCATATTTTGCATAGATTAATATGAATATTGACATACATAAATGTGTCCTTACCATATAATTGAAAACATACCTAGTTTCCTATGGCTTGCAAGGCTTTGCAGGCTCTATATGTCTATGCTCTGCCTGACTCTTATCTCCCATCTTATCTTTCCCCCTTTCACCTTTAGGCCTTTGTGCACACTTAACTCCTACTACACTTGCCATTCATTCTCAGTCCTGGTGTGTTTTCCTCTTTAGGTCTCCTTTTTTCCTTCTGTAGTCTGGGTTTCTTTTCTTTTGTAATATGTGTTTGCATTTGGAATTCTACTTTTGTTAATGTGAATATTTGTCTATATGTCTTCATGAATCAGGGACAGCTCATGTTATATCTCAAAGCCTAGTCTTTAATAATAATTATAAACCTGTAAGCTGAAGCATTTGATACCTAACAAAATTGACAGTAACAGCAAAAATGAAATCAAGTGTTGATGAGGTAGCAAGCAAAACATTGATAATTAGGTAGTCTGGTACCCTCACATAGCAAATACTGGAGAAAAGGCCAGAACGTTTGGTTGCTCCTCTACATTCATTCTTTTATTTATGGTGGTAATAGGGTTTAACCTCAGGCTTCATGCTTGCTGGGCATGAGTGCTCTATCACCTGAGCCATGCTTCCACTTCCCCCGTACATTTATATTCTCAGAGTTCTCATTACAGAGTTTTATAGTAAAGAAAAAAAACCCAACATCTCTGTGACACATTATCAATATGTCCAATTTTAACTAAGTAATTAACTAAATTAATATTGTCCTGTCTAATGGTAGAAAATATGATGTTCAAATGATAGAACAGGGCAAATGAGAAAAGGAAGAATTTAATGTACTTATACAGTCTTTACAACTGGATGCACATAATTACAAATTTAAACAGAGGTTGAGGGTATTGAAAGATGAAGGGAATTTTTTAAAGACTCAAATGCCATAAATATTTCTCAATGAAATATTATTTTGTAATTTAAGAACATGAAGTACCTTTGTGTTGCCTTTTTGTGTGTGTGCTAACCTCACTATGGATTATTTCTTTAGTATGGACCTGTATTTAGTTTTACCATGGTGGGCAAGACATTTACTTACCTTCTGGGGAGTGATGCTGCTGCACTGCTTTTTAATAGTAAAAATGAAGACCTGAATGCAGAAGATGTCTACAGTCGACTCACAACACCTGTGTTTGGAAAGGGAGTTGCATATGATGTGCCTAATGCGGTAGGTGGTACTGTTATGGCTCCATACTAAACGAATTACAGCTAGATGTGTGTTATTATACATTTATAATGTATAAATAATTTATCTCTTGGATCAAATGATCTGAAAAATTAGAAGACATTAAATAAATGAAAACTGAAGGAAGATAGAAATAATGTCAAAGTATGGTGGATGCTTGGGAAATTGCATCGACGTTTGTACTGGGTTGGGAGACTGGAAGGTAACCTCCATAGCAAAATGGTCCCTGGAGTTAGGAGTATGAAAAAGGAACAGGAAGCGAAGCAGGAGTTGGGCTAGGACTTGTCTAGGACCTCAGTAGCAGACACCTTTCTTTTCTTTTTTATTATCGTTAAGTAGTTGTACAAAGGGGTTCCCATTCTACAAAACAGTATATGAGAACAAAGTGTCTGACAACATTGTCATCTATCTCTCTTAACCTATCCCTTCTCTCACGCAGACACTTTTCTATATGCCACCTCACATATATATAGACATGCTTGAAGTGTCCCATGGGTAATGTCATTTTTTAAAAGTGCTTTTATTTTTATTTTCTATTTTTTAAACTGTGGTTTTCTCTAAGTGCTATATAGTTAGAATAACCTACTGGATCCTATGATAAAACAAAAAGTTACTTTAATGTTATATTTTCTTGATTTTTTTTCTTTTTTTCTTTTTTGAAGGTTTTTTTGGAACAGAAGAAAATGTTAAAAAGTGGCCTTAACATAGCTCACTTTAAACAGTATGTTTCAATAATTGAAAAAGAAACAAAGGAGTATTTCCAAAGTTGGGGAGAAAGTGGAGAAAAAAGTAAGGAAAATGTTTTACAATTGTCCTGTTCTTAGTGTGAATAGAGATCTAGAATGTGTGTATACATTGGTATACACACACACACATACTTATATATATATGCATAACAAAGCCGATGTATTAAACTACCTTGGATTTAGAGAAGGAAATGTCTGATTACCATGGACTTGTAAACAGAAATAGAGCCTTTAGGTTACAGTAACTGTTGCCTCTGAGGCAATAGTCTTGTTTATAGCGAACATCACCATACTACATTCTGGGTTTAGGTTTTGGCTTCTGTTTATGTGGTACTGAGGCGTCCATCCCAGGGCTTCATGCATGCTAGGCAAGCACTCTACCACTTAGTCATCTTTCCAGTCTAGGTTTTAGCTTCTGTAAAGGCTCTAGAAGCCTGCTTTTATTGTTAGTGTACCTAATGGTGATATGTATGTTTTCTAACTATGAAAGAAACTGATGTGAACATTAGAACATTTCTTTGTTCTATGTATGTATGTATGTATGTATGTATGTATATATCTACATATATCTACACATATGTCATACATATGTATCTACATACATACAGGGTTTCACTTCATATCCTAAGCTGGACTTGTACTTGTGTTCCTTCTGAATCATCCTCTGAGTGCTGGAACTGTAGGCATGTGCCACTACTCTAGTTAGAATTCCAATTAAATAAATGCATGAGTGATAAGATAATTTTGGCATCAAGAGAACCAGAACATTTACTGAACTTTATTTTCTTTTACAAATCTAGTTAGAAGGCCAATTGACAGTTCACTGATGAATGTGGAATTAAAGGACAAGAAATTAACTGGATAATTTTCATGACTTTTATGTCAACAAAGTGGTGTTTGCCTGATACATCTATCTCTAATGCTGGGATATAGCAATTGGTGATTATAGTTTCCTATTCTATATGACTAAGACTTCAATATTTTTCCTGATCTTCATCATTTGACTTGGGAAAAAAAATCCAATCTTTGGACTGATGTATTGGGAAAGCACCCCATTATTGTCCTCGTGCTATTTAAATTATTTACTGGGGCCTAAATTTAGGACCTTGCACTTGCTAGGCAGGTACTTTACTACGTGAGCTATGCTCCAGCTCTTTTTTCTTTTTGTTATTTTTTTGGATAGGTCTTACAATTTTTTCCCAGGTTGGCCTCTGACCACTGTCTTCCTGCTTGTGATGCTTAGTTGGATAGTTGGAATTACATGGGAGTACCATTCTGCCCATCTTATTGGTTAAAATAGAAATCTAACTGGAATAACAAGTATGCATTACCATATTTGGTCTGTGCCCAGAGGCTCTAACCTTATTGATGGTTTTTACTGTGAATTGAAAATCAGATAACCATATTTTTATTTTCATGTTGAAGAAAATCTCATGAGTGAATTTAGAGATGCCTTTGTAGCATCTATTTTGGCTCACAAAAAGGACATTGTGCATTTGTTTATTGCCTTCATGTTCTAGATGTTCTAGATTTTTGGGGGCAGTATGGATGGGATATTTTTCTTTATATTTTTTAGCATTTGGGCTGAATTCTGGAGCTTAAAACTGCTGCACTGCTATTTGAACTGTATCTGTAGATCCCTCCTCTCCCCTTTTTGCTCCCCATTGCCTTTTGAGAATAGAGCCTTGCTGGCCTCTCAAACCCACAAGCCTTCTCCCTCTATCTCCTGTGTAGCTAGGATTATAGGCATGAACCACCACGCCTGGCTGTACCTGTCTTTTTTTGTTGTTGTTGTTTACAAATCCTTTATGTCTTTACAAAAATGTTTCCAAAGACTTTGGGTAGTAGAATGATAATGATCCTTTTTTCCTTAGATGTGTTTGAAGCTCTTTCTGAGCTTATAATTTTAACTGCTAGCCATTGTTTGCATGGAAAGGAAATCAGAAGTCAACTCAATGAGAAGGTGGCCCAGCTATATGCAGATCTGGATGGAGGTTTTAGCCATGCAGCCTGGCTCCTGCCAGGATGGCTGCCTCTGCCGAGTTTCAGGTATGGATAAAGAAAATATTGCACTTAGTTGTTTAAGTTTGGAAAACTTCTATTATATTGGTGCGTTTTGCAAATTTGGGTAGATTATGAGTCTCCATTGTTTTATCAGAAATTAAGACAGGTTTTATTTATTTATTTATATTTTTTTTGTCGGTTATGGGGCCTGAACTCTGCCTGGGCACTGTCCCTCCGCTCTTCAGCTCAAGGCGAGTGCTCTACCACTTGAACCACAGTGCCACTTTTGGCTTTTTCTGTGGTGCTGAGGAATCAAACCTAGGGCCTCATGTATGCAAGGCAAGCACTCTACCACTGAGCCCCTTCCCAGCCCCTAAGACAGGTTTCTTTAATGCACTAATTGAAGCTGTTTCAGCTGATTGAAAAAGGGAATTTGTTGTCTGTCCTAAGGTTTTAACATTTACCTGTCACATATTCCTGTACTCAGGATTGTCTGAGCTGGACCTCTGTGATGCAACACTCTTTAAAGCACTGTGTGAAAGTCTTTGATGGTTTTGTATATGCACATTGTGAAACTTCTTTCTTGGGAATATTTGTCCCTTCATTTAGTTTTCTGTTGGTCAGCTTGTCAACTATACTGTGATTTCCTCAAGGACAGTGACCATCTGTGATGCAAAGCAATAGTACCCTTATTTGCTATGTAGCTCTGAGTTCTGTCTGTAAATATCCTTTCTCTACTTTTGCTGACTCTTTTTTTAGGTAAGAGTTGGGGTGAAGTTCATTGGTACTTTTCTTCTTTTATTTTGCTAGTTAATTGGAGATCAGGGTCTCCCAGATTTTTTGCCCAGGCTGTCTTTGAATCTAGAGTATCAGATCTCAGACTCCTGAGTAGCTAGGATTATAGCTTTGAGATACTAGTGCCTGGCAAGTTTGCAGTTTTGTTTTTTTTTTTTTAAATCTTATGTGAGAACACCCAGCAGAGAGTTTGGTCCGTTGTCAGTTTTCCATAAATGTGAACCCCCACCCTGTTTCCAACTCCCTGTGTTTTGGGTTAAGTTGCAGTTCTTAGCTTGACATGATAACCTAGTCTTGTTCCATTTACTTGGAAAAAAGTTTTATTTATTCTTAGTGGTTTTTGGTGCTGACTACTGAACCCATTATCTTGTGTATATTAAGGATGCTCTTCCATAGCTATACCTCCAGCCTCCATTTACTTTCTTAAATAGGCCATGGATTTTCCTGGCTCTGTTCTGTTCCCAGTATTAACCCTGAGTGCTTCCTTCCTGTGCATATTCTCTATTAATCCTCTTCAGTAGCACTCATGCAAGGGAAACAGGGCAGGAGTTCCTATTAGAAAGCTTGACTTAAGAGGGAGCCTAGAAGTCAGATTGCCTGGATTTAAATTCCAGCTCCAGTGCTCAAGAGCTACCAGTGAGTTTAGGATGACTGTCTGTCTCAAATTACTTGCTGCATAGTGAGCATGTTAAAGATAACCTTCTGAGAGTAAAGCTTATTTTATGAATCTACTATAAGTAGATTCATAAAAACTGCAAAAACTATGTTGTTTTAGAAACAAAAGTCTAATCAGATCCTCTAGAAGAACCATTCTAGAACTATTCTGCCTCAAGAATTGATTTGGCTAAATTACTATTTCATGTTAGTTTAAAAGAGAGTACAGCTTTCTTTTGAATTGGAAAATGCTTCTAAAGGAATTATATACTTGTTTTAGACCTAAGGTGGGAGTGCTAAGTTAGGTAGCACTTTAACAATCTTGTTAGATAAGGGCCCTCAGGACTGTAGTAATCCTTTTTTTTTAACATATATTTTTTATTGTAAAAATACTGTACAGAGGAGTTACAGTTACATGAGTAAGGTTATAAGTACATTTCCTACCATGTGTTGTTACCTCCTCCTTTGTTTTTCCCCTATTATCCCTTCCCTTCCTACCTCCCCAACTCTCCCCCCATCTCCAGTAGTAATTCTTTTTTTTTCTTTTTATTGTGAAAATACTGTACAGAGGGGTTACAATTACATGGGCAAGATAATGAGTACATTTCTTATCAAGCATTGTAGCCTCCTCCTTATTCTTCCCCTCCCACCCCCCCCCAGTGGTAATTCTTAACAGTATGTTTCATGGCTTCTCCCCCCCCAATTGTTCTAAGTTTTGTCAATTATTTTAAATGTATTAAGATTAAAGTTTTCCAAATGAATTTGATCCTAGATAGTATTACTATTTTTAAAAAATAATTTTATTTTTGAATTACAGACGCAGGGACAGAGCTCATCGAGAGATCAAGAATATTTTCTACAAAGCAATTCAGAAACGCAGGAAGTCAGCAGAAAAAATTGATGACATTCTCCAAACTTTACTAGATTCTACATACAAGTAAGAGCAGTTCAGAGTGCATATCAAGATGAAGCAGGAAATTACTCTGTAAAGCATAGTTCAACACTTAAAACATAAGATAGAAACTATCACCTTTTTAAATGGATGGAACTAAATTACTATGGGTCCCTGTGGCCAAGAATAATGAAATTGGTATGTAAATATGACTCTTTGTCTAAGGGTGGAGGCATGCAATGTTGAGTGGCTGTGTGCTTCCTTCCCTAGAGATGGGCGGCCTTTGACAGATGACGAAGTGGCAGGCATGCTTATTGGGCTGCTCTTGGCTGGGCAGCATACATCCTCAACTACTAGTGCTTGGATGGGCTTCTTTTTGGCCAGAGACAAAACACTTCAAGAAAAGTGTTACTTAGAACAGAAAACTGTCTGCGGAGAGAATCTGCCTCCCTTAACTTATGACCAGGTTTGTTGGAGTTTTCTGTTTCATTGCTGCCTTTTATATTGTCTCTTTTAAATAGACACTTTGAGATTTGTCTGTATATTTTAGCTTAAGTCAGTAACCTTCTCTATTTTTAGAAAACTCCATAACTTTATCTATTCCAGTGTGATTGCTTTTTTCTATTCAACTTACTCTGTTTTACACAGATGCCTTGGGAGTTCTATGGTGGTACTTTGGCTTTCGAGTTTGGCTTCTGTAGGTTCAGGAAGGTATTATATATGTTGAGTCTTAGGAAAGGTAAAGACCTCTGAATTAAAGTTTCTGGTCCAGATGGTGGAATTGTTTTGGGACCTCCTGAAGAGACAATGGTAGCAATGAAGATTAGAAACCCAAAACATTGTATCCAGCTTGCTGGGCAGAAAAGAGAGGGCTAACTGTCCAACCTGCTATTCTGTCTTTGAAGCAAATCTGGTCATATACTCTTCCTGGAGATTTTTTCCCCCTCTTCTTCTGATCATCTGAAAGAGAGAGAAAGACAGAGCCAGAGAGACAGAGAGAGAGAAAGAGAGAGATTGAGTGTTGGGTCCTTACCGTGATGTATTAACATTAATTTTTCTTTTTCTTTTTTCTTGTGCCAGTCCTGGGGCTTGAACTCAGGGCCTGACCACTGTCCCTGAGCTTCTTTTGCTCAAGGCTAGCACTCTACCACTAGAGCTACAGTGCCACTTCCAGCTTTTTCTGTTTATGTGTTACTGAAGAATCAAAGAGCTTCATGCATGCTAGGCAAGCACTCTACCACTAAGCCACATTTTAGCCCTAACGTTAATTTTCCAATGGTGAATAATTCTTATATTCCCTGGTTGTACAGTTACTTTATATATTATTGCAACAGTTTGGAGGATTTTTCCAGTGAAATTTATAAAGGATATCTATAATTTTATTGTGATATCTTTGACTGGCTTTGGTATCAGGTTTTTACTAGTCTCAGGATAAGTTTGGATATGTTCCCTTTCTCTACTGTTTTTGGGAGTTTGTGGGGAATTGATATTCATTCTTTTTTTCCCCTCCCATGGGTAATAGAATTTTCCATGTATCTTTATGAGAAGTTTCTTAATTACTGATTCTCTTGTTACAAGTATATTCAGATTTTCCATTTATTTTTCTGCCAGATTCCAAAGTTTGTCTTTTCAGGAATTTGTCCATTTCACTTTGGCCACTTTGTTGCTATGCACTTGTTCATAATTTCTTATAATCCTAAGATCAATGGTAATACCTCTTTTTCCTTCTTAAATTAGTAACTTTTAAAAATAGCAGCTTCCACAAAATCCATTTAATGATTCCTTGTACAAGTTAGTAATTTGCTTAGAATTAGGAAGCCATCATAGTTTAATTTTAGCACATTTATATTATTCCTAAAAGAGTATTCATATACAATTATGCTCTATTCCCTGTCCCTAGCCCCTGGCAACCATGAACATTCTTTTTGTCTCTGTGAGTTCTTCTAGTCTAATATAAATGGAATGATTCAATAATGTGGTCTTTCATAACTAGTTTTCTTCCACCTAGCATGATTTTACTCACTGTTCAATTACTATAATGAAAAAAGAAAACAGATTTATTCAGCTCACATAGGAATAAATCAGGCATTTTTATTAGGGAATGGTTTCATGGATACCAAAAGCACATTAAGAAGATATAAGCAACTCAGCAATCAACCCATTTTGAAAATGTGAGGATTAAAATTCAAAAGAATTTCTTTGGTTCTGGTAAAGGTCCCTTTGTCATATCATAGCAGGATAGCATCATGGCAGGAGTGGTATAAAAGGGAGAGATAGATCACATGACAAAATAGCCAAAATAAGGTGTTTTTTTTTTTTTTAATAACATGTCTTAAGAATAAACTCAGGATTCCATGAGAATGACCTTTTTTCTTGTGAGGGCAGTACCCCAGAATGTCTTACTAGTCCCCACTTCTTAATGGTTATATTATCTCTTACCATCATCACATTGACAACCAAGCTTCCTATAGGTGAACCTTTGCAGGATACACTTAACTTATATTCAAATGATAGTAGAATGTTGTGGCATGTATCAATGTTTCATATATCAATATATATCACCAGTAATATTGGATTACATATCTATACATAATATATCACAGTTTATAGACATTTGGATCGTTTTTACGTTTTCAATATTATTTGCAAATGTTTGTAATACTTTTCTGTGGGTATTTGTTTTCAACATTGTGAGGTACATATGTAGGAGCAGAGCTGCTGGAGTCACATGGCAACATTAGACTTGGCATTTTGAGGAATTGCCAAGTGACAATACCAACCTACAAACCCATCCTTTCGGTTGTTGTAGTTGAAACCATGCTATTGGTTTCCAAGACTACATAATGGATCTGAAAGTAGTAGTTATACTACCACAAGATTTACTCTTCTCACTAAGATTCTTTTTCTTTCCCCATTGAATTAGTAGTGTTTCTCTTTCTCTCTCTCTCTCTCTCTGTCTCTCTCTCACTTTACAGCTTGGGTGGGGGAGGAGGAGTTGGGGAGGTGGGAAGGGAAGGGAGATGGTAGGGGCAAAACAAAGGAGGGGGTAACAATGCTCTATAGGAAATGTACTCATTACCTTACTCACGTGACTGTAACCCCTCTAAACAGTATCTTTACAATAAAAAAAAATATTAAAAGAATAAGAGATAAAGTGTCTCATATTTTCCTGCCCAGGCTCTCTTTCAACTATGATCCTCAGATCTTAGCCTCTCCTGAGTAGGTAAGGTTACCAGTGTGAGCTATCAGTGGCCCAGCTAACTCTATTTAGATGTTACAAAATCTTTGGTTAATTGATCTGAGCTCTGAAGAAGTTGACATTGGTGATTTTTGCAAACATTCTCATCCTTTGAAAGAACCCTTTTAGTAAGTCCTTACTGAGCCATTCTTCAGATGGCCACCACTCTTCCTATCAGGCTGCCTGTTGTTTTTCTTTCTTTTTCTTTTTTGACCATAAATAGAAATGAAGCATGATGATCTCAGCCACCTTGAACCAGTCCCTCTGACCCACTACCCAGAATACATGCCAAACATGTACTAAAAAGTTAAAATAATTTTTATGCTATTCAAGTGTGTTAAATGTTGTTTTTTTTTTTTTTAAAAAAAGACAAACCTCAGGAACTTCTTTCTCTTTTTAGCTCAAGGACTTAAATTTGCTTGATCGCTGCATAAAAGAAACATTAAGACTTAGACCTCCTATAATGACCATGATGAGAATGGCCAAAACTCCTCAGGTGAGTGTCTTGGCATGATTTCTAATTCTGTGTCCTTTCTTTTCAATCAAAGAAAACATTTTAAAATTAATTTTTAGTATATTAGGTTCCTTTATTTAGTTTTTTTATTCAGAGTCTCATATGTAGCTCAGATTGGTCTAGGAACTCGTTATGTAGCCTAGGCTGGACTTAACTTGGAGTTGTCCTATTTCAGCCTCTTAAGTGCTGGGATTATAGGCATGTACCACCACCTCTGGCCAAAGACAACTTTTTTAAATTATAAAAATTAAATTATCGGGGGGCTGGGGGTTTAGCCCAGCGGAAGCGTGCCCGTCTGGTGCGCGCAAGGCGGTGGGTTCGGTTCTCAGCCCTAGTTTAAAAAAAAAAAAATTAAACTATCAGGGCTGGGAAGGTGGCTCAGTGGTAGAGTGCTTGCCTTGCATGCATGAAGCCCTGGGTTCAATTCCTCAGCACCACATGAGCAGAAAAAGAAAAAAGCCAGAAGTGGCACTGTGGCTCACGTGGTAGAGCGCTAACCTTAAGCTGAAGAGCTGAGGGATAGCGCCCAGGCCCAGAGTTCAGGCCCCATGACTAGACCCAAAATAAAAAATTATCATCACTTCTGAATAGTTTTAAATTTTTTTGTTAAATAACATTTTTTTAATTTTTAAAAAATGTTTTGAACTTTTTCAAAAGACACTTTTATATCCTAGATATTTTTATGTAATTGTAGGTAGTATATGTAATCTCTAATTCTGATTAGGCTATTCATTTGCACATAACAATAGGTTTTTAAAAATGTATCTTTCTTGCTTTAAAAATAATGTCTTGTGTTGGGGAAGGAAGTGCGTGGCAAAGAGCTTGCCTATTTAGTATACAGCGGTGCTGGGTTTGACCTCTAGCATGGATTTATAAACCAAGGCAAGTGAAAAATAATGTTTTGTTTTGTTGTTATAAATAATTGTAACAGTATGAGGCATACATATCAGATAATGGAAGGCTCCTTGAAATTCTACTTTACCTGACATGCATTATGACTTTGGTTTGTCTATATACTACTACTACATTGATGGCTCGCTTGCAAATCATTTTGAATTAAAATGAAGGTTAATTGACCTATTTATATAGCCACCTTCTATCTCTGTATAAAGGTTAAGTGTATGAATGCTTTCTAACATAATGATGTGTTTTTTTAGTAGCATATTTCAGTATTCTCTAATAAAATGTGTTGCTTAATTTGTAGACTGTGGCAGGGTATACCATTCCCCCAGGACATCAGGTGTGTGTTTCTCCCACTGTCAATCAGAGACTGAAAGACTCGTGGATAAAGCGTCTGGACTTTAATCCTGATCGCTACTTACAAGATAACCCAGCATCAGGAGAGAAGTTTGCCTATGTGCCCTTTGGAGCTGGTAAGATGATTACAATTTGGGTTTGGACTGTTTGTTCCTGTTTGTTCATAGGAGCATTCCAT